ACAGGAAAACTGATTGATGCCCTGAAACTGGTACTCACCAAGGCCCCATTGGGCACAAAAAACCAACAAATCAAGGTAAGTTGCCCCCAAATCTCTCCTGAGTCAGACAGTCAATCTTCTTTTCTCTCGTTGCAAGGAAAACGCATTGAACCTGACCTTAAGCGTGCTGCTTTCGATAAAGCCTTCGCAAATAGAAGAAGCCGTCAGTAGTCTGGACATGGACCTTTTAGATGTTCTCATGAAGTATGTGTACAAGGGCTTTGAGAACCCTTCGGAAGGAAGCAGCGGCCACTTACTAGTGTGGCACGAAAAAGTGTACAATGTTGGGGGTGTGGGCTGTATTGTCCGGGTTTTATCTGATAATCGAAGAGTTTAAGATTTGCCAAATGTTTTTGTTTAATTTTTTTTACTATAAGCAATAAATAGGTTTGAGAAAGTATCTTGGGTGTTGAATTGAGGAACAACAGATCACGCCGAAGAGCCGGAACCGTTTGCCAAGCGCAATGTGAATAGGAAAATGTCCATTCAAGGCGATAATGTCGATTTAAAAAAAGTCTAGCCTGGATTGCTTTGTTCACAGGCAAAATTCTGTTACCGTTTTTAAACCTCTTCATTATCAAGATCTTTAGCCGCAAAATATTCGAATTGCGCTTGAATTTACCAACGTTTTTGGAAGGTTGGCAAATTCAAATTTTCCGGTTCAATTAGACTCGAGTTCCCGCTTCCGAACGTGTGTTAAAGCCGCTCAAATTCCAAAATCTCCTAGAAGAGAATCCTTGAAAATCAAAGTTATCTGAAACCCCTCTAACAATTTGCAAAAACCTACTAAATATCGAGCTATAAAATGAAATAATGAACGATATCTCGACTAAATGAATGCTGTTGTAGTGGGCAGCACGAAATTTGATAAGCAAATGAACCGCAGTTAAACTAATACCTTTTTAACATTTAACATAACAACATAAGGTGTGAAATGGATTTTTATTAATTTTGCTTTTGCAAACTCCTAACTTTACGGTAAGTGTTTTGTCTAACTTTGTTTAATTTAATAACTAAGTTTTACCCTTTGTTAATATTTAATGCTGTAAGTCGTCAAACTTTAGCAAGTATTTGTGAGTGTCGGAAGAAGTGAACCTTTCTGCCTAAAAACCCTGAAAATCTGTATCGAGTGTCGTTTTTTGCCTACCTATTGGGGTTTTTCGGAAAATTCCAGACTCTAAAGAGATAGAGCTGAAATTTTCTAAAAGCTCTTGAACTGAATGCGTTTATATCTCTGAAACGGTTGTTAATAACTGAACTGAAAATAAAATGGTTTCAGTAGAGTACATGGAAGCAGTCTTTTCTTAAATTTCTTCCCCTAAAAAAGTTAGAAGGGAAAAGGGCCAATTTGAACGAATCGTCAAAGTTCGCGAGTTTCTATCGCGGAAACGGTTGAAAATATCTAAATAGTCAATAAGACCTTTTCGATAGAGCGTTCCCAAATTTTTCAAACAACCGCCAGGAAAAGTAGGTGTTCAGTTGAGAATATTTGACGCACTCATCAGCTCCGAAAGGTAATGAAAAACAAGATAATTCTCCCCTGAAAGGAAAAAAAGCGCAGATTTTTCGAACTTTTCCTAGCAAGAACAGTCATGATAAGTGTCAAAATAATATCCTGGCAAATAAAAGAGGATTTTAATCTCCAGAAAAACCATGTACGATAAAATCCAGTACGCGCCTTTACCAACGTCGAAGCGTGAAACCAAAGAGCCCGCAGTTCAACCGGGATGGAAATGCTATTCAGTCGCTATCAAGCTCTGGCTGGTCAGTCTAGCGCTATTGGGGTCTCTGTATCTTTTAGAGGTGTTCAGTTTAAAATCGCTCCCGAAAACTGCCTTAAATGCGCTGAGCGGTTTGCACAAACCACCCGAAATCGGCAGCAAGTCGCTCCACGGATATCTGGTGAACACTCCAGGTATTTAAGACGTTTTACGCTTCATCGTTGCTTTGATATAAAAGCGGATTTTAGGCTGCAGAATCCCGGACATGGATCCTTTCGATTCCGCCATTAGAGAGTTTATATTTTCTCCGCCCGAACAAAAGTGCCTCAAAGTTCCGCCTGCTCTTTTCTACAGCACCCCTACGGAGCTCCACATGAATCTCCCAGTTTTGCGCCAGTTTCATCAGTTGAAAAACTCGTCCGAACTCCACTGTTGCTATCAGGAATTTTCCAGACAAGATCCTTCAGGATCTAGTGCGGATGTGCAGGTTGCTTATAGCGAACAGTGTGTAGAACTGGGAAAAAGCGCCACTGCAATCCAGAGCGAATTTATTAAAGTGACATGCACGACCAACAGCAAAGCGAAGGTTTATGAAGACTATTTCGCGTTTGTGCCCAAAGCGCCGAAGAAAACCAACCCGGCAGTAGAACTAAAGCCGAACGTTTTGATCATCGGCCTGGATGCGATTTCACGCGTAAACCTGCATCGACAGCTACCAAAAAGCTACGAATTCCTAATGAAGAAGCTGCAAGGAGTGGAGCTGCTGGGCTACAACAAGGTAGCCGACAACACTTTCCCAAACCTAATCCCAGTACTGACTGGGCTTTTTGAGAAAGAACTGAAACCGCTTTGCTGGCCAACGTTTTCCACGCACTTCGACCGCTGTCCGTTCGTCTGGAAAAACTACAGCCAAAAAGGCTACGCGACAGCCATTGGGGAAGACTGTGCCTGGATCGGACTGTTCAACTACTTGAAAGTGGGGTTTAAAAACAGGCCCTCAGATTATTACTACACTACCTTCAGCAAGCAGCTTGAATCAAAGATTGGGTATAATGGGGACATGAACTGTGCCCAGTGTGTCGGCAGTAGGCTGTCCTACAGCGTTACTCTGGACTATATAAAAAAATTTGTCTGGAGAATGTCGCGTGACCGGAGTCCCTATTTTGGCTTCTTCTGGAGCAACAGCCTCTCCCATGATTACCTCAACAGACCCGCTTCCGGTAAGTTAATCCGCAGGAGGTCTAGTGAGTTAACCGGCTTAGGCTTTAGGAGATGGTAAGATTATGGAACTTCTTGTGCACCTGGAGGAGGAGGGCGGTTTAAACAACACGGTGCTGATTCTTATGAGCGACCACGGAATTCGCTGGGGGGACATTCGGCAAACTTACCAGGGCCAAATGGAAGAACGACTGCCCTTCGTTATCCTGGCCCTTCCTCAGTGGTTTAGGCTCCGTTATGCCCAAGCAGTTGCCAATCTCAACGCAAACGTACGAAGACTAACAACGCCCTTTGATTTGCATGAAACTCTTAAGGATTTACTGGATGCTCGTGGGCTGGAAAGCCCTAACCTTGCACTCAATGAGCTAAAGCGGGGGTAAGACTGCATAATTATAACCCACCAAAAGAATTACGCTTCTGCGGCCATTGCGTAAAATTGATAAGTTTTGCCGACTTTCAGGGGGCTTTAAAAATAATTTATTCCTGCCGTTCGGCGGCCTAAAAGCCCGAAAAACTGATCAGCCTCAACTAAATTCTTCGGTTTCTAGATACAGTTTATTTGAAAAAATACCAAAAACCCGAACGTGCCAAGAGGCTGAAATAGAGAGCCACTGGTGCACTTGCCAAGAAAGTAGGGCTGTTCCTCCAAACAATGCCCAAGTGGTGAAAGCGGCAAACTTTGCGGTTGTTACAATGAATCAATTCCTCAAAGGATACGCGCAATGCGCCAGTTTAACATTAGAAAAGATCATCAGCGCTAGACTGATGGCTTATGATGCTAAACACATCACAAGGAAAAAGTCCATCAGGGACTACAGACTGACTTTGAGGACTTTGCCTGGGGCTGGAGTATTTGAGGTGAGTTGTTGATGATACTTTCTAAGGGTACAAGAGATCGGTTTTTAGGTCACAGTGCGACTAAAGGATTTCTTCGAGAACCCCACTGATAAGAACGTAGGCTTATAAAGAAGAAGTTGAGGAAATCAATGAAACATGTATGTTTTAGGGCACATTTAGCATAACTGGCACGGTGAGCAGGATAAATCCGTATGGGAAACAAAGCAGCTGCATCACTGACTTCCACTTGAAATTATACTGCTTTTGCAATAGTTTAACTTAACTGTAATGGAAAAGTTGTCTCTTTTTGCCTCGATTCCCAGAAATGCGACAAATATTTAAAAAAAGAATTTGTCCAGCTAGACATACAGGGGACAAATAGAAGAAATTTGGATATGTAGGAATTTGAGACTAAAAACACATGATAAATTTAAACTTAATATTCTAAAGTTGCTTACATTAAAGGGCCACAGGTAAAGTAGTAAATTGCTCTTTTAGCTCATTAAATGCTTCCTCGTAGTCACTGTTAGGCCTGATCAGAACAACAAGGCAGCCCCTTTTAACATTTAAAGCTGCGCCCAAATCCTTCCTGCTTGGTACAAAAACGTATGGAATGTCTTTGTCTTCGCACACTCCAGGTAGGTGGCACATCACCTCGACCGGACTCACATCGCCAGCAAATATAACTATGCCCTTTTCGCCCTTTCGTATTCTGGTCTGGACGTCTTTAAGGCCACTTCTTACGTAGGTTTTCTGCTGGTTTGCTAAAAACAAATAACTTATTAACTCTTGTGATCGGACGTATTTTATTTCCGTCCGGTGTACCTTTTTTGATTAGTTTGTAGCATTTTTTGGCTAATTTCTTTGGAGCCATCGGTTTGGCAATTCCGTTACAGAAAGCTATTTTTTCCTCGTATGTGAGTTCGTCTGTGGCCTCAGCTATGGAAGCTTGTTCACTTACGTTCATTTCGCCCATTTTTCCGGTTTATACTCAAATGATGCGCTTCAAGCACAAATGTTATTGAACAAGAGCAACTGGGAGAAACCACGCCGCTAGACAACAAACTGGTAACCAATTTTGAGGTTAATCGCTGCTTTAGGTTAGGGTTAGGACTCTCTAGAAAGAACACCAACCGTTGTTGCCAGCAAATAACCCAACAGGCTTTAAGAATGGAAATAAATTTAAAGAAAAAACTTCTATTGAATCTGAAATGCAAATCGCAAATCTGAAACAACGCTGCAATAACTATGGCACCAAAATACACCGATTATCGCCACTTACCATGGATTTTAATTGTAAACCGTACCGCAAAGTTATTGGCTTAAACACAAATTCAGCTGCACTTGCCAACATGGCACACACCCAACTGCCATCCCTTCCACACTTTGTCCAACTGACAAACCTTTCAAAAAATGTTTGAAATGTGATTTTCAATTTTTCATCTGAAATCTTTGCTAAATTTCGGCAATGGCGCTCTCACCAGTGAAATCTTGCACTCCAAGAACGCGCGTTTTATCAGCTGCTATTCTGACTCAATTTTCCACCCCCAAAGCAGCCAAGCCCTTAGCGAACCACATCTCAACCCCAGAATGCTTCAGCAATGTTTTTCTTGAGACCCCCAAAGGAAAACGGAGGGCCAGCAAGGAAAAGTGCGATGAAGAGTGCAATCTTCGAGTCTCCGTGAGGATTCGGCCGATGAATTTAACTGAATTGAATGTAGTGGGCAGTGAAGATGTGATTCGAGTTAAGGAGAAGCAGATAATCGTCTGCCCCCCCAAGAACAGCCATAGCGGGACTAGTGTAGATCATACGTTTAATTACGATCATGTGTTTTGGTCTGTGGATGAAAGCAGCCCATTGTTTGCCAAGCAGGAGGATATTTTTCTCACCATTGGGGTGCCCTTATTGAATAGTGCCTTTAAAGGATTTAACGCTTGTTTGTTTGCTTATGGCCAAACTGGATCAGGGAAAAGCTACAGCATGATGGGCAGAAACATTTGCGAAGTGAGTGACATAGACTCGCAAGACTTTGCTGGAATTACACCAAGATTTTGCAAGGAATTGTTCAAAAGAGCAGGCGAGCTGCAGAGCGAATACACCATTAGCATTGAAGTCAGCTACTTTGAGATTTACAACGAGAAAATTCACGATTTGCTTGCAAATCCAGCTCAAAGCTCCGCTCGAGTTCCTCTGAAAGTGCGAGAGCATCCAACTTTGGGTCCATACATAGTGGATCTTACCTCTCATACTGTGAAGTCTTACACGGAATTGCGCGACTTCTTGATATTAGGCAACAAAAACCGGGCTGTTGCCAGTACAGCCATGAACGACTTTTCCTCCAGATCGCACAGCATTTTCGCCATAGAAATCGGCCAGTCCAAGAGCCTGGATGATACCGACAGCTGCAGAAGGAGTAAAGTGAGCTTGGTGGATTTAGCAGGAAGTGAGAGGCTGGGAACTTCACTCAACAATGAGGAGCGGATGAAGCAAGGGGTGTGCATCAACAAATCCCTTTTAACTTTGGGCAAATGCATTTCTGCCTTAGCTGAGCAAAAGAAAAACCAATTTGTGCCATATAGGGACTCAGTGTTGACCTGGCTATTGAGGGTAAGTAATTTAGCAACTCTTCAGTGTTCACTAAAGAACATTTTTATCATTTCAGGAAAGCCTTGGTGGTAACTCCCTAACCTCCATGCTGGCCACAATTTCTCCATCCAGCACCCACCTGGACGAAACTTTGTCGACGTTACGATACGCTTGCCAGGCAAGAACAATAGTAAATCGAGCGAGAATAAACGAAAGCCCTCATGATCGCCTCATTAGAGAGTTGCGGTTGGAAGTGGAGCGACTTAAAGCCCTGAGGAAGGACTATGAGAGGCGTAGCTCTCTGAGCCCCCAATCTGAGACGCTGAGCTTCAACGAGAGCTCAGAAGTTGACGACATCAAAGTGAAACTGGTGGAAACTGAGAGCAAGCTGTTTGAGGCGCAACAAATGTGGGAGCAGCGATTTATGGAAAGCAGGCAAAATCAACTGAAAGAACTTGCTGAAGCTGAAAAATGCAAGGCCGAGCTAGAGTCTAAAGTGAGGATACTAAGGACTGCTAATCAACAAGTGTCTTTGTCGCCGTATAAAACTAACTTTCTAGAAGAACTAGAGGGGGTGTTAACTTACGAAAGTGAGTGCGAAAGTGACTTGTTGGACAGCTTTAAACAGTGCTGTAGTGACCAGGGGCTGATCTGCACTTTCAACTCTGATACCCTAAAAATAATGGACCCGGTGACAAGAAAGTACGCCTTGGTGCCTCTGAACAACCTGAATTTGCAGAAATACGAAAATTTTTCGGATTATCTGAAAGGTCTAAAGTGGATGAACAACAGCGCCCCGAAAGGAGCCACCAAAGCCGAAATCGTTTCTTCAATGAACGACATATTTAAAATCCTAGGAAACCTGCAACCGCCTGATGAAGATAACAATTTGAGCCTCTTATACGCGAGAGTTAATAAAACGCTGCAAAAGTTTGAAAGTGCGCTTTTAAACAACGTTAAGAGTAGTAAAACTGTTACTTTTCATTTAGACACGTAGGCTTATGCTATTTTTGTTTGTTGCCATTGTAAATAGCGATTTTTGTTTGTTTTAGTTATTTAATTTCTAGCATTTTATTTGTATTTAAGATGTCATTGTCACCGAACAAACCGGGCCTGGAGGATATCTATACATTGACTAGTCACGAAGGGTTTAATGATTCTTAAATAAACCTTAACAGCAAAGACGGTTGAATCGTTTTCTTTGCCCGGTCAAAAGTGAAGGTTTCAGAGGGTCTAATAATGGAAATTGGGGACTAGCAAATAGACCACTTAAAAATTGTTTAGTTTTCCAAACAATGTTTAATTATTAATCTTTGAAATCGGGCTCATCATGCCTTTTCTGATACACTTCTCCAAACTTACTCATATACTTCCTGATGTATTCTCTGGCTTTAGCTTTTACGTTGTCCGTGCAAACCAGCTCATCTATACTGAGGAGGTGCTTGATTTCCTTCAGCATCACAAAGTGAGTTAACTGAAAAATTATATTCAAATGAATAATTATTTTCAGAAAAGTGTCTCGTTCCTACTTTTCTAGCCAAATGCTTGAAGTCCTCAGTGTTCGTAATGCGGGCTTCTTTACAGTCGGGTTTTCTGTAAGCGTTCAACACGCTCACTACGGTGTTTGCCATGTTCGATCTGAAGTTTTCTTTGATTTTTCTCGCATTCTCGTCATTCCACTCGGTGGTTTCTTTAGTGCGCGTTTTCGATGAGCGCTTTTCCCTAACTTTCTTGGGCTTCTCGTCTGCCGGCTCGATTTTCAGCTTCTTCTTGGCTTGTTGCACCATTTGCTCCTTTTGGCGCTTCAGTTTTTCTTTAGTGGCTTTGTACCGTTTCACGTCCTCTTTGAACTGTTGTCGATCTTCCTTAGTGCGTGGCTAAATGAGAGGATTTCTTGAAAAATCTAGTTAGGAAACCTAAAACAAGAATACTTACACTGATAATGATTTCCTGGCACAACCCAACGCGCCGTTTCTTCTTTGAGGGCTCAGCATTGTCCAGGTTAAACTGCTCCTTTAGTCGAATATCTATGGAAGACATGGGTTCGTCTTTGCTTTCTTCTTTCACCTGCGCGCTTGGTTCGGTTTCATCGTTTTCAGAATCGGCCTTGAAAAATAAATTGAATTTCTCGCAAAAGAACGCAATCATCAACGTACCTTCACTTCAGGACTGGGGGTTACAGATACTTGTTCCTCCTGTTTCAGATGTTCGGGCAAGGGGGACTTTAGCGGCGCTTTTAAGGTGCGCTCCAGTTCCCTCCGCACGTCCATCAGCATTTTCGAGTCGTCGACTTCCTCATCAGTCCCGTAGTCTGAGCTCGATTCTGAAGAACTGCTGGTCTCGGAAGTTGAAGACTCAGAAGCTAAAATTATGATAAATGCAAGGAATGAAAATAACGCCGCAAATTCCTTACAGTCCTCGAGGGTGGGTTCAGGGAAAAGCGGCGGCTCCCATTGGCTTTTCCTGAGTTTCACGTGGTAATAATAAGGGCGCCCATACTTGTCCTTTGCACATTTCCATTTGGGCGGCAATTTGGCTGGTGGCGGGATCGGCCCAGCAAATTTCACCTGAGAGGGATCTTCCGGCTTCACTTCCTGGTACAAGGGCATAACTTGCAACTGAACAATCGCAATTTTTTAGTCGTCGACTTTCCAAATATTACCGCAAGCTTACCGGGGGTTGCGAGATTCCAGGCAAAGAATGTACGGAACCGGGCATGGCTGCGCCTGGATGTGCGACACCCTGTGTAGGTAAGCCGGACACCATGGGTGCCAGCGCTGATTCAAGAAAAAAATTGACTAGACCCAATCCGCTGAGAGTTAAATCGGTAAAACCCACCTGGATATTGTTGGCTGCCTGGCAGTCCCGGAATGTTCATCAATGGATTGGAATACGGTCCCAGCAAAGGTTGCTTATGAGGTGGTACGTTGTAGCCTGGAATTTCAACAACAATTCACATACATAGTGCTTCAATTAGAGTTAGGAACGAAAAAACACAATTAAATCGTTTGTTACACTGTATCTTTTCTGACTCACCTTGTGCTGGAGCAGGTGAGCCATACATTCCCTGGTTCTGCACTGCAGGGACGGGTAGAGCTTGCCATTGGCCCACGGCAGGATTCCAAATGTATTGGAACCCTTTGGTGGGATCAAAAGGAGCTGTAAATCGTGGGTCGGCCCCGATCATCATGCAGTTCATCTCGTGCTGACGCCATAACTCCCTTTGCTTCAATCTGCGTTCCTCCTCTTTCAGTTCCATCTGCAGTGCAAACAGCTTTCTTCGCTCGTGCTTGCTGATCTTCAAAAATTCCGCTGACGGGCGGTCTTTGTCGTCAAACCTGAGCCAATTGGAGTCATGTGGAAGGATCAAGGAAAATTAACTGATCATTTACCTGCTCTTTTTGCTGCCCTCTCTTTCCGATTTGTACCGCGACCAGGTTCGATGGCGCTGATCGTTTTTCCTCGAGGACTCTTTTTCTTGCGCGTAACTACTTTCCATGAATTTCCTGTTGGCTTCCTTTTCATGCTCCTTCATTTGCTCGATTCGCTGTTTTTTCGGAATACGAAAACTCTCCTTCAAGTTAATCCTACAAGAATTTGCTATACATCGGAACTTGAGGTCGTGATTAACATTACCATTCTTCTAAGAGCTTTGTCGCCAGGAACTTGGTTTCGTCGATTTTCTCCTTTGCCAGTGGATCGTCCATCTCCCTATCGGTGTCGTTTGGCGACTTCTTCACGTCTCCTTCTTCGACGATATCTTCATTCTTCGCCCACTTTTCAACGGCTGGTAAGACTTTGCTTTCAATGAGAATAGTTTTGCTTTGTATGGGCAGAACCGCCAGGGTTTGCAGCAGTTCCAACTTGGTTTGGATGATGTCCAATGGGGTGTAGATCACTTTGCCATCTCCGCTCTTCAACTGCTGGGCATCAATCATATATCCGTGCATCAACCTTAATCCATGATAATCCAAAAACAATCTTCGACATGGAAGTTCTCCTCTCCGCAAAACACGAAGCAACTTCTTGCGTTGTTCCTGATCTTTAGATCTCACCATCAATCTGCTCAGTTTCAGTGTGTGAGCTTGGTTCTTCAGGCCGGTTGTTACCAACATTTCGATGTCGTCATTGAGTTGCTAAAATACCGCTTGTTGTAGCAAAAACCTTCAAAACAATGCTCAGAAAACTTACATCAAAGTCCTCAAACAGCACTTCCTTGCGCAATTTCTTCTTGCCAGCTTTCTTAGGCGATTCCAGTCGCTCGGGCGTAATGGAAGGCTCAGTTTGAATTTGATCTGCGGAAACACTGGCAACTTCCGCAGTGTCCATGGGAGTAGGAATGTCGCTTTGAAGACTCGTTGATTCCAATTGCTCCTTGGCCACAACGGCGCTTTCTTCAGCTGGAGGCTTTGCTGGCTCAGCAGCCACTTCGGTGGCTTCATCTTCATCCTCTTCGTCTTCGTCCTCAGATTCATCTGGACGATCGCCAAGCCATCCGCGACAAGTCGGTGCTTCGCAGTAACATTTTTGCGCTTCTTTGCTGGAAAAATGTCTACCGTCAGTTTTTCTTTCAGTCAGGGATTAATATATTGACTTCCACTTAGATAGACAAGATTATTTAAAAATTGCAAACTTCGATTTTATAGCAAGTAAAAAAATGCTGAAAAAAAATTCGAATCGCGCGGAATTCTGATTCTTGCGGACTTCGTAAATGAGGGCCTAAATGTTAAGGTTCTCATAGGACTAAGTTTCTAAGCTAGAGCACGTAATTCGATTAAACTTTCGCTGTGTATAGAAGACACTTCAGTCTCAGCATCCTGAAAAATTAGTTAAAACTGCGCAAAATTGTCATTTTAACTTGAAAAAATCAACATGATGGACTAACACCTGACTCGACAGCACACTTAGGTGCCGTCTTCATCATCAGATTATCTTCATCACTTACCCATATCTTTCGAAGCGATAATCAAAGGTAATTTCCTCCCCAGCCAAGATCGTTCTGGTGCTGAAGAACCCGATTCTCAACTCGCCGTTAACAGTCCATTTTTGGGTCTCCGCATTAGGGTCACATGAATGATTGATAAAGCGAGAAATGTTACCTCTCATCGTTGCATCAATTACAGCGTCTGCTCTTAAAGACATGAAGTAGAAGTGGATATTTTTGTCCTTCGAGTAAACCTCCGCTCTTTTATCAAACTCGTCTGCATTTAGGACTTCGCCAACGTATTCTAGAATAAATTCGCCATATGCGATGTTAGCGGCTGCTCTCAGGCCCAGGCCTTTCTTGTCCGTTTTGAAAACTTCCACTGGTGCAAAAACGCTTTTTTGGAACCGTTTGTTGGTGCACCTGTCTCCTACCTGGCACAGTTCGCCGCATTCTATCATGAGAAGTTTGTTCAAACAATCGTCCCCACATCCGTATTCGTCGTTTTTGATGTCTTCTTCTGCTAGGTAGCAGTCGCAAACCATGTCTTTTGCTTCTTTGGACACTTGCCTGTCCGTTTTGTACTGGTTTTCCTTCAGGTGCTGAAAACTCTTCAGTCTCTCTTCAATTTCATCTTGGCCGCTCTTAGCCGCCTTTATATCAGTGGGTTTTGGGAGCTCCGGCGATAAACTAGGCAATGAGACACTGCTCAATTGCAAATTCTCTGTTGATTTGGCTTTAGGTTTGCTTTTCTCCGGCTTGCTTAAGTGAGGAGGTGAATCATGCGGCTGTTTATCGTTGTCGTTGCTGTCTGAATTTTCCACCTCCAGAGGCAAGTTTGGTTCAGACTTGGATTTAACCAAGCCATGGGACTTTTTCTTAACCATCGGAAAGGTCTTGATTCGATCAGATCTTCTTCTAACTTCTTCGGATAATTCGCCACTTTTTTCATCCTTTTTCCCTTTTCCGTTCTTGCCTTTTTTCACTTTGCCTTTACTTGCAATTGGCTTGCCTTTATCGCTATCTACTTCGGAAGTAAATTTCCGAATAACCGCATCAATACAAGCGTCGATGTCCACCCTTATTGCATCTAAGGATTTGGATGAAGAAGTCTTCGTCTTTTGCCCCTTCAACGACTTCTTCGTTACAGCCGTTGCTGACTTTGAGACTACTTCTGAAGCAAGTAGTTCTCCTTTTTTGCCTTGCGAGTCTTCCGTGCGTTCATGGTCAACTTCGATTTTAGCAATTGGCGACTTTGCCTGTTGTTGTTTAGTTTTCTTGTAAATTATTTTTGTTTTTACAATGCTGGGCGAGAGTTGGGGCGAAATGATTTCAACATCAGAGTCCCCGGACTGATTTTTGCTTGAGCTGCTGGAGCACTTAGCCGACTCTTCACTGCGTCTTGGACTGTTTGTCTCCTCACAAATTTTCATTGTGTCGGTGATTTGCTTACATAAAGTCTTCTCAACGCTGCTTTCACCAAGTTGTCTGCGAAAAGCGCCCGAGTGCATCGTAGGCTCTGAGGTGCTATCACAATTCTGGTGATTTAATGAATTTTCTGATGTCGGAACGTCATTATGATCGGATTCAACTGTTATCATGCTCTGTGAAGACGTGTCTTCTGAGAGTACCGATTTACTGTCGCCTTCCCTAGATGATTCTAAAGAAATGCTGAAGCTCTCAAAGGATTCTGATAGGGAATTGCAGCCTTCTTGCTGATGATCGTTTTTGGCTGCAGCTGCTTGTTCCTCTGGAAGAATTATGATAAAACTGTCATCATCCACCACACATTCCTCGATTATGTTTGGCTCGTCGGACTTCGGGCTGTCCGCATTCACTACGGGGTTTTCCGCCAAATTTCTTCTACTCCAGGACTTTTTAAAATGCTCAGACATTGGGAAGCTTTTTGCTGCTTCCTTAGGAGCAGGCTCAGGCTGGCGCCCTTCCAGGATATCTATCAAGGACTGTTGATCAGTAGTTTCCTGTTGCGGGCGATAAATTTCCATATTTTCATTCGTATCGTCATCATCAGACCAATCTTTTAAAATTTCCATTATTTCTGGCCGGGCAACGGCTGGCTCCGGACTCGGTTCTTCACTTGTATTGTCGGGCGAAAGATCCGACTGCTTGTCAGGGGCTTTAATGGGCGACGCATTCTGAATTGCAATTTTTACCACACTTTCTCGGCGGGTGGATCTCGTTGAAACTGTACCCACCACTGTGGGGGTTGGTTTCCGCTTTTTGGGGGGCATAATTCAACACTTGAAACACTTTTATAGAAATCCAGTGCTGACGGATCCAAGCGATGACATTTTTTACCGAATACCGAACTGACTAATGTGTTTTGTACACTTTACTCAGAATGAGGCCATTAGAAATACACTATTTAGTAGCATTTTCATTTATCTAAATATTAGATTGATGGTTACTTAAACCATAGATACATACACAGACTATTCACTATTATATAGACAATTAAGACCATAGAAAAAGACTTATAAATAGATAGATATTATACATAGAGAATAGATAGACAAATAAAAAAACTTAAACGTCAATAAAGTTTGGTTGGGAGTGTTGGGGCTGCTTAGAGCTGCTTTGGTTGGACCTTTTCTCGAGAAATGTTTTGAAGATGTTCTAGAAAATAAAATAGTTTAGGCTTCAAACATTGGAGCCCGAACATTTGGGGGCTGAACAAAGAAACCCTTCAGCCCGCTGAAGAATTTTATCAGTTATTTTCACTGAAATGGGCTTTTAGTGATTGTTAAAAACCCTTTAAACAGCGACTACTAAACTAACCTAGAATTATGTTAGGTTAGATATCGGGTTGACACAAGTTTAAAGGAAAAATATTCCCAGAGACCATGGCTCTAACACTAAATGTAGCCTCTAGATCATGTTCTGTGTTGAAACTCATCGAGGAAAAACTCAGATTGTTAAGGTGGGTTTATTGATACTTTCAACCAATTTGCTAGAGTTCCTGAAAACTTCCAGTGTTTCCACCACTTTTCAACGGGAAAGCCATTATCAAAAGCGCCCTAAACCCCGCTTGCGGAACCCCAGCTGGTTGACTCCTAAAGCAAGAACAGTAGGTAGCTTAAACTCCCAGCTGGAGAGTGGTTGAAACCTTTACTTTCCAGATTGGAGAAGAAAATTTTACCCCAGAAAACAGAGATTTCCTCGCGGAAATAGTGGACGACAAACTGAAACAATGCACGGAAAAGTCTAAGCAAATCGTGACCAGTCCAGTTCCATGGACTCCAAAGTTGCAAAGAACCGGCGTGATTGCGAAGAAAATCGGAATTTATCCTCTGTGGTTGAAGAACGGGACCCGAATTCAAACGACATTACTACAGGTAAGGGATCGCACGCATTGAACCGGTCCGGCAGCAACTATGTCAATTTTCAGGTGCTGGATAACCACGTTATCAGATATTACACCCCTGAAGAGTACGAGCCTGTACAGCAGCTCAGGCCAAGAGTGTACAACAAGAAGGGGTGTCTTTTAGTGGGCGCTGAATTAGGAGACCCTTCCACATTTACCAGGGAATACTGCGGATTGTTCAAAGAGTCTGGCGTACTTCCAACCAAGTTGCTGGGACGTTTTTTCGTCAGTCCAGATGCCTCGCTGCCTCAAGGAACCACTATTAATGCCCAACATTTCCAAGTTGGTAACTACGTTGATGTGCGAGGAAAAACGTACTGTGCGGAGTTTAAAAATTTGCCTCAACTTCCCTAAATGAATTTTCTTCCAGGATTGATCGAGGCTTCCAAGGCGTTATGAAGCGGCACGGGTTCAAAGGAATGCCAGCTAGTCATGGAGTCACAAAGTCCCATCGCAGGGTAGGAAACATTGGAGCCGGAGGAGAAAAAGCCAGAGTTTGGCCCGGCAAGAAGATGCCTGGTCACATGGGTAACAGATTCAAGATGGCCAAAGCCCTGAAGATCTGGAGAATTAACACCAAGTACAATGTTCTTTGGGTGTCTGGCCAGGCCATACCTGGGGAAACCAACTCGATAGTGTACGTCTACGACACTCAATTACCGACGAAGACGCCGCAAAAGCCGCTGCCATTCCCAACGTTTTTTGAGAATGAGAATGAAACCGCACCTGAAGACATTTTTGATGAAGAAGTTCACTCGTTTGCCGATTCGACCATTTTATTTGACGAGAAATAGCGGAGGTAAATTAGGACTTTAACTAGAAAAATAAGTAAATTTAATACATATATTACACCTTGAATAGTGGAGCTATACCCTTTTATTTAAATTGACCTGGGGCTGGCCCAAATAGGCTATTGCCTTGCTTAGAAGCAGCTCTAGACGGCGCAAAGCCTAAAAGTTTTTGAATGTTTTGCCTGATGGACATGGTACATAAAATGTACAGAAAAATAAAAGAACAGTCATAGTAATCATCTCCTGGTAAGTTTCGATGGCTCAAGCCCTGAATCCAAGTGAGCGGAAGGAAAGGCAGTCTAGCTACCACTCTCCCATCAAAACTGCAATATAAGAAAATGTTCTTGTTGGTCATTTTCGGGTTATTAAGTCTTTCATTCGAAATTAGTTCTATTAGGCTCTTATTTATTTGGACTTACATGTTGTTAAACATGCTTAGCAAAGCAGTGAAAGCGAAGCCAATAGCAAACATGGACTTCATTTTCACAAAAGACAAGTCCCTGTTATTGTGCTTCAACTTGTCCTCTTCCCTTTCAATTTTCTTTTTCTGTTGCCTGTCCAAAGTGTCTCCGTGCGTCTCCTTGCGCTTCTCCACTACAAAGACTCAATGTTTTCCATATAGACGTTGTTTATATCAAGGCTTACACTTTTTGCTTTGCTTTTCCACTTCGGTTTTCAGTTTTTGGTAGCGTTCAGTGCGGTACACCATCAGCCAAGTGAGGCCCTCACCTAGGAAAGCTGTGCAAATTGATATGAACACTATTAGCAGAGTATCAGCCCACATTTTTTCTATTTGGGGCACTTCCTAAATTTAATAAAATAATAAATAAATTTCGAGTACTATCTGAAAGATAGCCTAGAAAAGCTGTCAGAGTAGGGATGATGCCAAGTTTCTGAAACAAAATTCCGTAACTTAAAATATTGAGTCTTAACTACACTGACAAATTGCTAGGGTTGAGGAAAAAAATGCAAACTGTGGCAACCGCTACACTAGATGGTTGGCACTGGCATTTTTGGCAGTGACAATTGAGGTTACATCAGCAATATTTACCTTTATGCAATGTTAACTTCAAATCGGGTTTAAAAGTAAATAATAAACATTCCAAATGTTTCTGCCGCTCTCCAAATGCATTATTTGTCACGAGCACATAGCCAAAGTGAAGTACAACCTGAAGTCTACACATTCAGAGAAGTCCAAGGTTCTGATGATCAAGTTGGTGGAAAAATTGTATGAAAATATCGTGTTTCTTCATTGCAATATATGCACAGCCTGTTACGAGTTGCTGAATGAACTGGACACCATTCAAGAGCGAGAGAAGCAGTTGTATGAGCAACTTCACAAGTACTTTTCTAAGTTGGAAAATTCTGCATCAAAAGTGTCTAAAAACAACAAGACTGTCACTGAGGATGCTCCGAGACTTTGTCCCGATTTGGAGGGAGAAAGCTCCAATGTCTCCACCGACAACCTGCAGATTGGGGACATAGATTTTAAAAAGTTGCCCATCAAAGTTACCAGAGTAAAATTGAAGAATGATCAAACGTCTCCTCAGGAACTCCCCGAAGTTGATTTGGAGCAGCAGATCAAGCACAACGATAAAGCTTTTGAGCAGGTTGGTTTCCAAACGACTTCCACTCAATTTCAGCGTCACCAGCAATTTTTTGCAGATTCGCTCCCTTATTCAAATGGACCTTTCCAAGCATATAGAGGAGCACATGACCAAGTGCAAACCATCCAAGAATATTCTATGTGAAATATGCGGTCAAAGCTTGAAAACCAAGATCGGGTATGACAACCATTTGAAGAAACATGATGCTGTTGGCGACGACCTTAAGCTGCTGGCTTTGAATAAAATAGACGAAAACTGCTTTTGTGAAGTGTGCGGCAAAAATTTCAATCAGAAAAGCGCTTTAGCCCGACATTTGTCTATACATACAGGTGAGAGCAGTTTTTGAAAACCCTCCTGGAAATTAACTTGGTGATTTTCAGGCGAAAGCCGCTATCAGTGCGAAGAGTGCGGCAAGAAATTCTTGCATCACAGCTCTTTCAACATCCATCGAAAAATCCATGCTGGGCAGCGGAATTTCCGCTGTGAATTTTGCAATCATGGATTCTTGACTAATTCACATTTGAAACGACACGTGCGAGCTTGCCATCAAAAACTGCGAAATCATCCATGCCCGTTTTGTCGCCACAAATTCACGGAGAACTACAATCTGTTGGCGCACATAAAGGTGGTGCATAAGCAGGCTGATGAACCAGCCAAAGAAGATGCAAACATCATTTACCATTTTAAGGATGATGGTTTTATTGAGGAACAAGAGGCGGTTATTCACTTGCAGGAGACTTCTGATGGATTTTGTACAATCACGGAGAGTTGCTAACGTAGCTGTAATGCCTGGATCGTTGCGACTCATTCTGCTTTAGCAGTGGTAAAAGTCAGTATACTGTTTAATAGGCTTATAGGTTTTCGGTCCCAAAAACTGATAAATTTGAGCTCAGGTCGTAATCTACGGCGCTGAGGCCTGTTAGCCAAACTCGAGTAGGGAACAGATATAGATATTTGCTAGAAACACGAACAAATTTGGAATTTTCAGCGTGAAATGGACTTAAAATCAGAAAGGTTCGACCATTTTCGAGATTTTTTTGATTCTGCCTCTTTAGGTGTTCGGAATGTTCGCAGTTCTCGCAACGGGCAATCGAAAGGGTCCTGACGACTTCCGATAAGTTCAGATAGTTGCAATAGTTTTCAAGATATACATGAGAATTTGGAAAAATTTCGGGTCTATTTTATTTGGGATGCCATACGGGTAAAAGAATTGAAATGTTGAAACCATATCGAAAGGGGTCTAATATCAGGACTTTTCGGATATTTGGGAGCGTTTTCGAGGTATAGGCGGTTTTAAATACATATTTAGCGCTTTCCAAATTCTTCCAATGATGACTGATATTTCCTGGGTACTCGAATGAAATTAAGCAGTGACCTGAGTTTAAATTAAATAAACCCCTAATATAAAATTACATTAAAAATCGTTTATTTTCTCTAGCTACCTTTGGCATGTATCGAAATATAAAAGGATATGGTAACATTAAGGGCTTACAGTACTATGTATGCATCACAATTGCTAAACGAGCTACTTTTCATGGGATAAATAAAGTAAATATAGCTATCTAAGAAAAAGATAAAACAAAGATAGATAGGCCTAAGATAGGCGATTGAAATAAGACTCAATTTCAAGCGAGTTATACTTAAATCTTCACTATCTAGATTTTTTAAATTGTGGATTATCGATAGTTTGACTGTTCAAATAAAATAAAATATGATTTTGCACTGTCGCTTATTTATTGGCTAAGGTATGACGGAACTCTGTTACGGTATTCGCACAGGAACAACTGATTGCCTAGTGCAAAACCCCGATTATTGCCGAATACTGGATAAGATACAAACTAACTTTACGATTAATCGCTAAACAAATGTCGAAGATCTTCGCAGTCAATTAATGTCTTGTTTAAAACGGTGTTAGCAACGTGGCTCGTTTGCAAACAGCCTATTTAGGCACCTTTCATCCATTCGAAAGTGGTGCCATTTTTCGTGGATCGTCAAGTCCACAGCGCCCAGTCTTTTGTAGAAATCGCCCGCCGGATTCCAGGAAAGCACGTGAAAGTCCATTTTTTTGCTGGGAGTTTCGTGGGCAATTTTTGCCACTGCCAAGAAGAGCTGAGTGCCGATACCGTTCTTGCGGTAAGCGGGCTGCACATAGAGATCTTCCAAGAAAATTGATCTTCCCAACCAGGTGGAGTAAGCTGTGTAGTACAATGCGTAGCCCACGATGTATCCGTCCGATAGCTCAGCTACCAGGCAGGTGAACGCTGGATTTTCACTGTCGAAACCATCTTTTTCCAGCGTTTTTACATCCAGCGTCATTGTGTGTTCCAGTTTCTCAAATTCGGCCAAGGCCTGAGAAAAAAGAAAATGAAAATCTTTGTTTATTTGCCCCCTAGCATCCAGGATAAGTAATGAAAACTAACTAGCAAACGTTCTTATCTAATGGGCAAATATTTTCGATTGTGGCCCCCTAAGATGGCTTATCTGTGCAATCCTCCGCCTAGATAATTACACAACTACAACTTTCTTATCGTTAATTTCACATTATAATTAATAACTATTTTATTAAGTTGGCTCGAACAATAGACGCTTGCAGCTTATAGCAATCGTTTACCAGTTAAACAAGCAAAACATTTGCGTCAACAGTTTAATGGTATGTTATTGGTTCAATAGAACTGGTTTAGGCTCGTTAACAGGAACTGAGAATTAAAAATTCCAGTTTTGCCGCTAACTGGTGTAAATGAAAAAATATTTGCGAGTGATGCTTTTTGAACTATTGTTGAATTGTGCATACGAGAGCATTTTCCAAATGGACATAGACAAAAATTGCTAAAGACCAAAAAACGCAATGCAATTATGCAAAGGTTAAAATTGTTCTGTTGTCATTCGATTCTATTCTGCATTACGTGAGGAAGCTTTAACATTTTTTGCATCGTTTTAGAGACCTGCAAATTCGACCCTGCATGATTAAGCCGCTCTTATTTTTTAGAAAGTCGGTTTACGCTCATTTCATTTCAAAAAGTATCTTGAAATTCGCTTGGCCTGGAACTTTTCTTATAAATTCTGTAATCAACGTATCGAAATGGCCGTAATAAATAAATCAAATACAGGGTGTTTCAGTTTAATCAAGACGTGCATTTCACGTCCCACGAGGAAATAGGTTTTTTTGGTGSGCTTTTAAACGGTCCACATTAAATTTTTKTAAACAGAGCGCTTTTCAGTGAAAAAAAGGCAAATTGTAAAGCATTTTTCAAAATTGAGATTTAAAGTCGCGATTTGCTAAATCGTCAAAATGTGGCTCAAAGAGAGTTTATAAATTTAACTTAAGTTTTCTCAGCCTTAAAGCCTTTTCAGTTAAAACTCAATGAAAAAATCAATCAAACGCGATTAAGRAAAATMGGTAGAAAAATGGTCCACGTGGACAGTTATACATTATTGTTTGTTGGAACTTCTTAATTACAAAGTATCAGCCCGGTTTCAAGTACTGCTGGGAACTGAATTCAGAGTGAATGACTTTATATCTCGGGTCGGCTCTTCGATTATGTTGTTTGCTTCAAGGCTGAATGATGCGGTTTCYGCTATTTTTTATKTATTTTTTCATTTTTTTTCCTTCATATTYCGGAAGTACAGTGTAGCAATATTTATTTCACTKGCCCCGTATACCGATTATTAGAACCTATACAATGCTGACGGTTGCTTGAAACACGTTCCATTAATTATAAAAATATAAAGTAAATGGCATTTAATMACCCATRTGAATTCTACGCTTTGCYACAATCAAACTAAGCGACTAGKGAAATAYCCCAAACAGTTGCTTCATTTGTCTATTTTGTTTTTGCAWGGAAATAAGGAAAAACATGAATTTATCCGATGCAAATAATGCGATGATTCAGCAACATGCATGCAACTAGGATCTTAAATTACATAAGCCGGAACGGATTCATTTCCTCCAAAAAACCGGTTTCAAGGACTCACCCTTATCATTTTGTACACTTGGCCCATATCATCCTTTTTCGCTTTCCGTATAGTTACGCTAATTTCCCGTTGTTTTAGCATATTCGCGGTCTTAAACGTTCGCGTTCACCGCACTTAGCGCCGATTTCTCTAGAACTATTTTTAAACTGATAAGATTAATCGTCGGGCAGAGAAATTAATTTTAAATTTACAAAAGCCAGATTTAATCGAGCTCACGTGATATGCCACGGTTTTATATCATTGGTCGCACAGATAAACAATTCCCAGCACAGTCGGATTATGTTCTTTTCTTGTTCTCTGTTCTGATGCTTTAACTTTGCTCAATTACCATATCGGGTACCTACCAAGGTTGATTTTGTCCATTCTAGAATGCGCCAAGGTATCTGCTAGTATATCGATTTTGAGCGCAACTGCTGGTTGTATGAAAAAATACACTTTATCCAAACGAATAATGGGATGTTTTTGGCCTAAAAATTGCGTTATTCTCCACAAATGCGGATAGTCGTAGCATGCCACAGAAATGTGCTGCGTTTCAAATTTTTTGTGCTAAAATTTCCGTTTCTTCAAAGAGAGTTGTGCCAAATTTTCCCAAATGCCTGGTTTTCACTAGGGGATTGAAAAATCAATCACACATATTATAAGAGCCGTTTTAAGCCAAACTATCTTATGAGCATCGAGCGCGGATATTGGCGCACTTTTTTTTTAAACAATAATTTATGAGTCTTTGATAAAAGCGCTTAAAAAGACAGTTTTATTAATTTAAATTTCATTAGGGTTCAACAACTACATTACAGGAAGTAACAATTGATTAATTCAGTTTCATATATGAATGTTTAAATAAAATTCCACTGCATTGTGCACTGTTGCCAGTTGCCATAGCGCACTCCGCCCATCGGTTTTTCAAAAACCTGTCATCCATTGTTGTTTGATGTTGACACTGTCACTGTCGTATGATAATCATAGAACAAATTGTGACCCAGAATATCAATCAAGGTCTAAAAAAGTCACGATTTGATTAAAATTAGTAACGATTAGGACTGCGTCAGTTTAAGTGTTTATCATGGCCAGCCTGCTCAGATCCTTAGCCTTAACTGAGAATGTCGTGGCGAAAACTTGCCCAAAGGTACTGTAGTTTGTCCCTTCGATCAATCCTTGATTTGTAACCTTGCATACTTATAAAACATTACATAAAGTGTATTTTTAGATTCTAGGGACTGTCGCCAACAGTCGTTGGAACCCACAGACGCAACAGAAAAGGAACCTTAACGTTCACGAGCACGTCAGCTACACTTTGTTGAAAGATGCTGGCATTACAGTGCCTAACTTTGGAGTGGCGAAAACCAAACAGGAAGCCCGCCAAATCGCAGAAAAACTCAACACCAAGGACTTGGTCCTTAAGGCTCAGGTGCTGGCAGGTGGTCGTGGCAAGGGCTCATTCAAGAATGGACTTAAAGGGGGTGTTAGAATGGTTTACTCGTAAGTGTATTGTCTTGGTTTACTCATTGACTGTCCAAGGCGCGAGAGGGTCAAGGACCCAACTTGAACCAAAAGTGGTTATTGACGTTGTATTTTTCCCTCAGTTATCAACATTCCAATTATCACTTGTTTGTATGAAATAACAACTATTAAGTATAATTTGCTCTTGGGAGTAGTTTTGGATAGAGACCGACTTGCTCTAAATCAGTTTGCATTATCGTAATTTGTTTTCAGATAATTACCCGATAAATTTCAAAGCCTGTTGCATTTTTTCACGCTTCTAAAAACTATTTTATCTTCAATTTCATTGGGAATGGCTGGTTTTCTTTAGCCCTGATGAAGCAGAAGACATCAGCGGCCAAATGTTGGGACAATATCTAGTCACCAAACAGACAGGTGAAAAGGGGAGAATATGCAACGCAGTAATGGTAGCCGAACGAAAATTCCCCAGAAAAGAGTTCTATTTTGCAGTGATGATGGAAAGAGCCTTTGCGGTCCGTTTCTCGTTTAAAACCCTTAAACTAATGCCACAACATTCAACTCTTCTTTCAGGGCCCTGTTATAATCGCCTCATCCCAAGGCGGTGTAAATATCGAAGAAGTAGCGGCAGAAAACCCCGATGCCATCCTCTACGAGCCCGTCGATGTAACTAAGGGACTGACCAAAGAGCAGGCTGAAAAAGTTGCCGTTAAGGTCGGACTGGAGTCCCAGAAGGAGAAAACTGCTGAAATGCTGCTGAGGATGTACGATTTGTTTGTTAAAAAGGACGCGCTACTGATCGAAATCAATCCCTATGCTGAAGATGCTGGTGAAAAGTGTACGTCCAAAAATGCCAAAGCGCGATTTGTGCCTGTGATGGGATATTGTTCTTTTGCAGATTTTTCTTTGGATGCCAAGTTTCGGTTTGATGATAACGCGGCCTTTAGGCAGAAGGATCTTTTTGCTCTTCGGGACTGGACCCAAGAGGATGAGAAGGAAGTGGCTGCATCCAAGGTAAGAACTTTGTCTTAGGCACTTTGTTGAAAGTTAATAAATAGGAAAACCCAGTATTTATTTGCTGCTTCTACGTTTTTAGTTTGATCTAAACTACATTGCCTTGGACGGCAACATTGGCTGCATGGTAAATGGGGCCGGTTTAGCCATGGCTACTATGGATATTATTTCGCTCCATGGCGGTTCTCCGGCTAATTTCTTGGATGTTGGAGGTGGTGCAACCGCATCAGCAGTAAAAGAAGCCTTCAAAATTATCACCGCTGATCCAAAGGTAGTTTAATTCACTAAGTCAATTCTTCGTGTGCTAAAAAACTTGTGTTTTCCAGGTCCATGCCATACTGGTTAACATTTTCGGCGGCATCATGAGATGCGATGTAATCGCCGAAGGAATTATCGCTGCAGCCAAAGAGCTGAGCCTGAAAATGCCAATCGTCTGTCGGCTTCAAGGCACGAACGTGGATGACGCCAAAGTCTTGATTGCCAGTTCTGGACTGAAAATATTGCCGGTAGATAATCTGGATGAAGCCGCTCGATTGGCTGTAAAGCTGTCCAATATTGTCAGTTTGGCCAGAGATGCCAAGCTGGACATTAACTTCGAAATTCCTTTGTAAAAGGCCAATCTATATTACCTATTTATTGAAAATGTATTGTGAGTATTACAAACCACGGGTGAGTATCTTCAGTGTTCATCCAAAATGTCATTAATAATATTTATTTATTTTTGGTTTGTTTTATCATACTTTATTATTCATTGATATACAATTTTGCTGTAAAAAACCTCCATTGTCTTCAATTTTATGGTCTATATTAGTTTGTTCTCGAACAAACGCCGTCTTATTGTAATTTTAACTGTACATATTTGTTGTTACCTTAAAAAGTGCGTGAAACACTCTCGGCATGTGATTCAAGTTGATTTGGAGTTAGAAGGCTTTTGGCAGGTTGGCGCTTTGCAAAATTCCAAGCAAAATTAATGTAAATCAATCTTATTGCTGGTAAATGCACTTTGTTATTTGTAATAAATTTATTTGTTGCACTTGTTGGAAATTCTGACTTTTTGCTGATACTGAAATCATTTCCTAAATGAATGAAAAAAATCCTCGAAATCTTCTCGGTGAGTTTTGATGGGATGAGGATCCGATCTTTTAAGCTACGTATTTTGTGGGGTTTTGCACGTTTTACCTAGTTTATAGGAATTTTGGCCCCCAAAATTATCAGCAACACATTTTTTACAAAAACAATCAAACTGCTGTTTGTGTGCGTAAAAATGTTTAGTTAAATTCCCATCAAAACACTGGACAACTTTTCGTTTAGAAATGCGCGCATTTTGAGTCTCAAATCGGAGGTATCGCATCATTTCTTTTATCAATTAATTAAATAAAAAGCTATCGAAAAAGATCAATTGCAGACCATAAACCACCGCTTCCACCTTCAAATACAAAGACCTGAACTTCAAAAAAGTTTTATTTTTGGCATTTTTACTTTAAACTAGGGAAGTAATAAATTAATACATACTAAAATGGCACAAAAGTTATTCAGACAAGTTATACAAAATTGAAAGCACATCCAGTAGAAACGACTTCGAGGCATTTCAGATTTGGTTTCTCATATTCGCATTCCAAATAAAGGAACTCAGATATAAATAAACACTTGGAAATGTAGAAAACCTTACTGACCGAGGCCGAAAAATGAATGTCACTATCCAATGGGAATTTACCTATATTACAATTCGTCGGTAAATTCGTGAATATTATGCAAATGTTCCCCATAGTTGGTTGCCTCACTTCCCACGAAAATCTCATGATGATCAAGGATTTCGTCAAAAGATAACAGATCGTCGTGATTGTCGTCGCATTGCGCGAATAGATGAGTCGTTTCTTCTTCGGCGATTTTTCTACAAACATTGAAATTAGCGCGACTTGTAACACCCAAGTTAAATTACTCACTCATTTTGAGGAAACATCCAATAGATAATTTCATCTCCCGTTAATTTTCCGTCCTTGTTCATATCATATTCGTCAAACTCATCTTTCTGGGATATCAAGGCTTCCTTGCTCATCTGAGACCCTTTCTCGCTTAGAAATTCCTTAAAGTCGCACAAAATTTTACACTGATGTTGCTGATTGGGAGGCTAAGAATCGCGTTACCTTGAAATTGAGTGCGTCGTCATTATCAGTGTCTTTGCTGCGTAAAATTTGTTTGAGTAAAAGTGCCGACAAATCTTGATGCTCTTCCGGATTGGTAAATTTAGAAAATTCCTGCCTATTTAGCAGGCCATCGTTGTTTGCATCAACAGCCCTAAACAGTTCTTGATCTTGCTCAAATTCAATTCTAATATTTTCATCCTAAAATATTTGATTTGATGAGAATTAGATAAGCGTATGAATAGAAAAACTCTGCGCCTTACGCTGTCGGCCCAGTTAGATTGAAGCGATAGCTCCTCCGAACCATAACTTTCCAGAATATATTCATTCCAGCTTATGTGCTTATCATCATTCTCATCAGTTTCGTCAAACTTCTCATTGGCTTCTTCAGCTGATAGCATTCTGAAATTGGTCATGTTCAATAGGTGAGCAATTAATGCCATTTTCATAAGATTCTTACTGGAAAGAATGGACGATCCATTGTATTAATTCCGACCTATCAATGAATTTATCCCTAGATGTATCCATGACATTCAAGAGAGCTTGCAGTCTTTCCTTCGATTGTTCAGGGGGCAACGCATCAAACTCCTCCGAAATTTTGGCACTGCCCAGTATTGCCTCATGGTCAAAGTTGGTTCTGTGCTCATCTCATTAGAAACGATTTGTAAGTCTTCATGTGAATACTGAGCAATTTTTTAAGTTTATCTAGCCTTTGGTGGCTAGACAAAGGGTGAAACTCTGCTTTTCTAGTGTAACGCACATAAACTATATCTTAAAATTTAGTTAGCGATTGCTAATAGAATCAAACTGTTCTGAAACACTGGGGCAATTGTGATAATGGTAAGAACTTGCGCCTTTTTAGCACCAAACTAACTTACCAGAATTCATATGGGCCTGGTATTCTTCACGATTTGTCGCATGTTTGCCTTCATCGGACTTGGAGTTCAGCGTGTCATGGCTATGAAAGTTCTTGTGCATAACAGCCCCCCAACATGTCATTGAGCACAGTACGATTACATAACCGGTTAACCAGTTGAAGATGATATTGGTAACGCGCATTTCAACAGAGCTTGATTAGTTTTCTCAATTTTATATGATAGTATTTGAAATAAATAACGTGAACTCAAACAGCAATAAGTTTTTATTGTTTACACTGGTTGACAGGTTAGTTAAGTGATGTCATTGTTTATTAAACAAAAGGGTAGGCAATGACAATCGGTGGCGTTATATACCTCTCGCTCGCACGTATGGCAGTTTTGCGAGAAGCCTGTATTGATGGAGCTTGAAAATCTGGCAGCATTGCTCTTGGTCCATTGTCAACTTTTGACAAACACCTGCTTAACCTCAAACTTTCATGTGCCGGGAATATTGTTTTTCTTAAACATTCATTGTTTATGGTGTCATTTTCCTGAATCTGATCCAAAGGAAACTGGCAGAACCGAGTATTTCACATGGCTAATGACATTACGTCCACCCCTGAGCATTTCTACCAGGATGCCGCCAAATATTGGTCGAAAGTGCCTGCTACTGTGAATGGCATGCTTGGCGGCCTGGGCAGTGTATCAACTACAGACATCCAAGGTTCCAAAACCCTTTTGAAGCAACTGTTGAACTCCAAGTTTCCGCCAGGTAGAAGTTATGCCCTGGATTGTGGTGCGGGCATTGGAAGAATCACCAAATTTCTGCTGAGTGAGTTATTCGACCAAGTGGACATGGTTGAGCAGAATGCAGCCTTTTTGGAGACAGCTGAACTATATTTGGGACAGTCCTTAATGGAGCGAAAGGTGGGCGTGATGTTCCCTGTGGGATTGCAACATTTCGCGCCAGAGCCTAAGAAGTACGATGTTATTTGGGTGCAGTGGGTGCTCGGCCATTTAACTGATGACGATTTTGTTAAATTCTTCGTTAATTGCCAGTAAGTAAGAATAAAGGACTACGCTTATTTTCCTCTGCCTAAACAGGACCTTTGTCTTTTAGAATAGGATTGAGACCCAATGGGGTGATAGTTGCCAAAGAAAACATAACTTCAACCGACGATGTGGATGTGGATGCGACCGATTCGTCAGTAACACGGCCCTTGGGTGTACTAAAAAAGTTATTTGATCAAGCAGGATTGGACTGTGACAGGCTGGTCAAGCAACAAAACTTTCCCAAAGGTTTATACGCGGTTTACATGTTTGTTTTAAAACCGAAAATTGATGTTCCTCATGCTACTGAAACGCTGAAAACTGTTGATGGTGTAAGTGACTAGTTCAAGTAAACTAGCTATTGTGATACCTAAGGGCATTTTCTCTGCACTTTCTGTTACTAGTTGAGTAAGTATTGCGTTTGGCTACAGTCTCATTCATGAGTTTCAATCCGTTTAATATTAATGTTGAATCTTAACAGTAAAACTGGTCACTGTTATAGTCATTTCCAGTTTTCTTGGTTTCGCGATGCAAATTTTTTATCAAAAAAATTACTAGTATTGAGACAGTTTTAAGGTAAGCGCGCATTTACGTACCACTAGTCCGTATTTTGGCATTATTCCTAGTGGGACGTTTATGCTGGTTTATCCCAATACTTCCCAAAGTTTACTTTGCTTACGAGCACAGTATCGGACACTTTTGAAGGAGACAAAGTCTGCAAAGAGAACAGTGTTCTTGGGATCACTCTATTCTTTCTCTATAAATTGTGTTAGACAGAAGATGCTATCAATTACTGATCGTCCGTTTCGTTCGATCAATGCGACCAAACACTATCCGTACGATACCAAAGCAATAAATGCGCGCTTGTCTTCATTAGTTGGGTTTCTGTTGCTCATGTTGTAGACAGAAATATTGTAGGTTGAGGGCATCGGCATCGTTGTTTTTTGAACATTTCCTGGAAACGTTAACTTAATCATAATCAGTAATAGTATGTAAGTTTTATTTATTTTACTATCTTTCTAGTCTTTTTTTAGTGAATGTTTTTAACTGGTCCGGCGCAGCCTGTAAACTAATATTTTGGACTAAACTTTTATGTTTGATTGTGAAACTACTTGCCCCATCCAATCGCCTTCCTTAAACCTGCACATTTCAACTCGCAAAAATTTCATTTTGCCTCAGGGCTCAAGTGAATTTTTCAAAGTGAAACCTTCTGAGGGTGTCGCCAATAATGGTCATTCTTTTATATTGCTGGCATGTTCATATTGTAACTGAAAATGGGATTGGTTTACCTTGTCATCTGTAATTGCAGATTTATGAGCCAAACGTGCCGAAGTACATAAATAAAAAGTTCTCGGCCATCTGCGCTCATCAATCGGCAGTTGAGCGATTTAATCTACGTTGTTTAAAAAAATAAATAATAATATCGGAAGGTGTTCATCGGTTTATCGTGCACGTTCAATTAAGCGAACATTCTATGGTCATGTGCATTGCTCAGGATGAATTTTCTCTGTAATTGGGTTACGTAATGAAACTCGCAGAGCCGCATTTAATCGACTGCCGGAGACTCATCGATAATTAACAATGTCTAGGCTGAGTTTTGAGAAAATCTGTTTTGGCATCTGCGAGACGCAAATTCTGACTGCAGGATTATTTATTGCGTCCAGCAGGTTAATAGCAAGCGCGATTAGGCGGAAAACGTCCAGAAAATTTATGGCTTCATTTATTTCAGATTCGTTTTCGATATTTAATCAACAGCACTTCGCTTTAAATTAAATTTGTTTCAAATTTAAAAAATCCCACTATCGAAATGTTGGTGATTTTGATGCGGTGAAAAATTCGTGTGTGTCTCATTGAAGCAGCATACAAGATGTACAATGCCATCAACAAGCAATTCGTACCATCTGCATGAAGCACCGGTCCTATTATAAGTTCCCTACATTTAAGCTGATAAATTAGAGTTTTTTAATTTAATTTATTGTTGACTGCATTTTTTATGGTGCATACACATGCAGTACTCGATTTTTAATTTAGTTTCGTTCGCGAGAAATGTACAGAGGAATGCGATTTGATTAACGAGCATTCAGGCGCGATGGTCATATGAGTTTTGGACGGTTGGTAATTACCAGACTGTTTCTTTGTTGAGTGAAAAACCAGTGAAGTAATTTACAGTTTAAGCAGTTGGAAAAAACCTCGAGTCGCATAATGAGCTGCCAGTTTTCGATATCTTCCAGTTGACCAAAGAAACGTAAACATCATAATTCGTAATCTATAAATCAGTATTATACATCTATTTCTGCATTGAATTTCTGAACTTGCCGGATAAATTATCGTTTTTCTCTTGCGATGAATTAAATTACAGTTCATAAGTATTCTGAGCCAGCATGAGCTTTACAATTTTAAGTTACGACCGCTTTTTCTACTCAGCCTTATCACAGCCATCGTTCCGTTTTATGGCTTATTATTTTATTGTTAGTCGAGTTTCTCATGCGGTGGTCGATTTTTTTCCATCGAGTTCTATAGATTTTCTATCTAAGAAATAAATCCGCTACTTGATGGCCAAAGAATTATTGATATAGTCGATTTTCTTAACAGTTTTTCAATCGTCAATAGGCCGATTAATTTCCCGATGAGTGGACATAATACACTCGGACATATCAGTGGAATCTCTAAAGATTGTGCATCTTATGCTGGAAAACGTTTACGGAATTTCAATGGCTTTATAATCGGTAGCAGTTTGCTTAATAAATCGTTATTTATGGCCAATAAAAATGCATGATTTTATTCATATATGGAGTGAACAAATAAGGAACTTGCCACGCTCAGTTCACATGGAGCTTTCCTTGGCGCAATCAATCAGAATTGTTTTTTTGGTGTGGAAAATCTGATGTTTCCCCGATAATTTAAGGGTGGAGAAAGTTAAAAACGGCGAGCTTATTAAAACCTCAATCGAAAAAAGCTACTCATTAAAAGCAAATAAAATATGTTCACTAATTACAAAGATGAACTGCCTTAATTAACGGTATGTAGGTTAAGCTCTTCTGCATTATATGCTGACGTATCGGCACTAAAATTAATTAACAGTCCCTCAGCTGCCCACTGGAAGATATAAACGACATTGCCGGATGCAAAATCTGATTTTATGTTTATTTATTTCCAAAAATCTTAATTGCTTTTCGCATTTATTAATGGTTTATTTCGAATTAAGGCATGCAGGCAGGGTTTTATATCCTGTTTAGTTGCAGCTCTTGAGCCCGTAAAAATCATTTTTTTTTGCCTGGTTCAGTTGAGGAAATTAAGGATTCATATATTTAAATTGTGAAATTGCAATATTTATTATTCAGAGCGTCCCGTTCTAAAATTGATTTAATTTTAACACTCACAAAAAAAAGAACGAGGTAACTTCGAAAACCAGATCTTGCGGCTGAAGAAGCTCTTCCGCATCGGTTTCGAAGGGTCACTCTCTCAAAAACCGTAAACGTACTTCGACTTGCAGGCCAGGAATAGCCCTTTGATTCACCTACAGAAATGATGGATTTATGCAGGATTTTGATTTGTTATTATATTTTTTCTTTCCTGGGTTTCAGTCAAATTGTGAAATAAAAATGTTCATATCGTTTATTTCATATCAACAGCGCCATCATCAGATGTTAAATTCAAAACAAACCCATTGTTGTCTCGCCGAAACGTAAAAATATGAAATAAACGATATGAACATTTTTATTTCACATTTTGACTGAAACCCAGGAAAGAAAAAATATAATTTGATGATGATTAGGATGTAGTGTTAAAAAGGTTTTTTTTGGTTATTCACCCAATATATCAGCCTGCTGTTAAAATAAATCGTTTTTCGGTACATTTCCTGCCGAAAAACTGGTCGCTAAATCTCACGCGATTTTTTAAGTTTCTGGATTTTGAGGACATTTTCCATATCAGATTCGTTTTCTGCACGTATTGTTGAAAATAATCTCCAGAAACCTAAATATTTCCATGTTGCGAAGAAATGAAACAAGCGATAAAACGCACAACAGTAAGTAGAGAAATGCGTTCTTCATCTTGCGGTTTTTGAGACATTGACCACATTTGGGCCATGATTATTTCGTTCTATTATTTCCTCATTTTTCCGTAGACGGGTTTAATATTGGTAACTTCGGGACCAAGTGAGAATAATGTCTAGATAATATAAAAAATTTCCTTAAATCTGCTAATTTTGTATCAAAACTTGAACATAAAAAGATATGAAGCTTATATTGCAGTCCTGCGAAAAACGCCTCAAGAACATCA